GTATTCCATTGTATAAATATACCACAACTTCTTGATCCAGTCATCTGTCGATGGACATTTAGGTTGTTTCCTTGTCTTGGCTATTGTAAATAGTGCTGCTAAGTACATTGGAGTTCAAGTGCCTTTTTGAATTAAGGTTTCCTCTAGATATATGCCCCAGAGTGGGACTGCTAGATCATATGGTAAGTCAATCTTTAGTCTTTTGAGGAATCTCCATACCGTTTTCCGTAACAGCTGCACCAGAATACATTCCCACCGACAGTAAGGTTCCCTTTTCTCCACAGCTTCTCCAGCATTTATTGTTTGTGGACTTTTATGTGGTGGCCATTCTGACCATGAGGTACTACCTCATCGTAGTTTTGATTTGCATTTCTCTGATAATTAGTGATGTTGAGCATTATTTTTAAAAATTTTTAATGAAGTGAACTTTACAACATAAAATCAACCATTTTAGCTGGAGAGGGTGTGGAGTAAAGTGAATACATACACACATACACACAATGGAATACTACTTAGCCATTAAAAATGAAATGCCATTTGCAGCAACAAATGGAACTAGAGATTATCATACTAAGTGAAATAAGTCAGACAAAGAAAGATGTATCATGTAACATCAGTTATATATGGAATCTAAAATATGATACAAGTGAACTTATCTACAAAACAGAAACAGACTCACAGACATAGAAAACAAACTTATGGTTACCAAAGGGAAAAGGATGTGGGAGAGTGATAAATTAGGAGTTTGGGATTAGGAGATATAAACTACTATATATAAAATAGATAAACAACAAAGTCCTACTGTATAGCACAAGGAACTATATTCAATTATCTTAAAATATGATGAAAAAGAATATATATAAAACAATTTGCTGTACAACAGAAATGAACACATTGTAAATTAACTATACTTCAATAAAAAAAAGCATTTTGACATAAAAAATTTAGCTCCATTTAGTACATTCACAGTGCTTAGCAACTAATACCTCTACCTAGTCGGAGAGCATTTTCATCTCCCCATAAAGGAAACCTAGTACCCATCCAACAATTATTCATTCATCTCTTCCCTCAGCCCTGGCAACCACCAGTGTGCTTTCTGTCTCTATGGCTCTATCTATTCTGCATATTTCATATGGACATAAATGGAATCTATGTTATGTGAGCTTTTGTGTCTACTTTCACTCAGCATGTTTTTGATATCCATCTATGTTGTATCCATATCATTGTCTCTAATGACTGAATAATATTTCATTGTATGGATAAACCACATTTTATCTATTCAGACGTTTATGGATGTTTGGGTTGTTTCCACCTTTTGACAATTGGATTAGTGCTGCTTTGAACATCTGTGTACGAGTATTTGTTTCAGTACCTGTTTTCAATTCTTAGAGAATATATACCTGGGAGTGGGACTGCTAGATCACATGGTAATTCTATGTTTGACTTGAGGAACTGCCAAACTGTTTTCTACAGCAGCTGAACCATTTTTAAATCCCATCACCAAGTTCAAGGGTTCCAGTTTCTCCTCATCTTTATTGGCACTTGTTATTTTCAGATTTTAAAAAAATCATAGCACTTCCCATCCACTCAAATGGCTGTCTTACTGTGGTACTGACTAATGACGCTGAGTATCTTTTCACATGCTTGTTGGCCCTTTGTCTTTTGCTCGCATGTTTTATGGGATCTTTCATCTAGGCTGCTCAGTACTTTTATACCAGAGCTATTAGGAAATGTCAGTTGATATATGAAAGATAAAATCAGTAATTTAGTCCCACACATCTTCTCCCCCCATTTCCCCCCAGCTTTACTGAGATATAACTGACATAAATCACTGTGTAAGTTTAAGGTATACGTTATAATGGCTTGACTTACATATGTTGTGAAATGATTACAGCACTATCTTTAGTTAGTATCCATTATCTCATATAGATACAACAAAAAGAAAAAGAAAAAATTTTGTATGTGAGGAGAACTCTTGAGATGTACTCTCTTAACAACTTTCATATATATCACACAACAGTATTAACTATAGCTCTCATGTTGTACATTATATTCCTACTTCTTATTTATTTTATAACTGAAAGTTTGTACCTTTTAACTCCCTTCCTCTAATTCTCCCTCTCACCACTCCCTTCTTCTGCTAACCACAAATCTGATTCCTCCTTCTATGAGGTTTTTTTAAAAAAATTAGATTCCACATATAAATGAGATCATACAGTGTTTGTCTTTCTCTATCTGACTTACTTAGCATAATGCCTTCAAGGTCCATCTTTGTTGTCACAAATGGCAGGATTTTCTCATTTTTTTGGTGGCTTAATAATATTTGTGTGTGTGTGTATGTATATGTGTGTGTGTATCTACCTATCTATCTATATATAAAACTTCTTGGGTTGTTTCCATGTCTTGACTGTTGTAAATAATGATGCTACAAACATGGGGATGCAGATATCTTTTCAAGTTAGTATTTTTGTTTCCTTTTGATATATTCTCAGAAGTGGAATTGCTGGATCATATGGTTGTTTAATTTTTAACTTTTTGTGGAACCTCCATGTTGTTTTCCACAATGGCTATATCAGTTTACAATCCTACCAACAATGCACAACATTTCCCTTTTCTCCACATCCTCACCAGCATTTGTTATCTCTTGTCTTTCTGATGGTGGCCATTCTAAAAGGCATGAGCTGAGATGTCACTGTGGTTTTGATTTGCATTTCCCTAATGACTAGTGATGATAAGCATATTTTCATGTACTTGTTGGCCTGTCATATATCCTCTTTAGAAAAATGTCTATTCAGGCCTTTCACCCATTTTAAAATTATTTGCTTTTTGCTATTGAACTGTATGAGTTCTTTATATATTTTGGATACTAACTCCTAATCAGATATGGTTTGCAAATATTTTTTCCCATTCTGGAGGTTGTTTTTTCACTTAGTTTGCTGCTTTTGCTGTGCATAAGCTTTTTAGTTTGATGTAGTCCCACTTGTTTTTTATTTGGTTTCTTGTGCTTTAAGGTTATGTCATAGCCAGAAAATCATTGCCAAGACCTATGTCAAGGAGCCTTTTTCCCCCCTTTGTTTTCTTTAGGGGTTTCAGGGGTCACCTTTCATTAAAATATTTAATCCACTGCAAGTTAATTTTTGTTTTGTTTTTCTTAATTTGGGGGGGCAGGTGGGGTTAAATTTCTTTTTTTTTTTTAAGTGGAGGTGCTGGGGATTGAACCCAGGACATTGTGCATGCTAAGCATGCACTCTACTATTTAAGCTATTCCCACCCCCCTCATTTCAAGTTAATTTTTGTGAGTACTGGAAGATCAGAGTCTAGTTTCATTCTTTCACATGTGAATATCTAATCTTCCCAGTACCATTTATTGGAAAGATTGTATTTTCTTCACTGAGTATTCTGGGCTCCCTTGTCAAATATTAGTTGATTGAATATGCTTCAGTATTTCTGGGCTCTCAATTCTATCCCATTGATCTATTTGTTGGTTTTTATGCCAGTACCATACTGTTTTGATTACTGTAGTTTTATAGTACTGCTTGAAACCAGGAGGTGTGTTGCCCCCTTTGTTTTTTATTCTCAGGATTTCTTTGGCTACGTGGGGTCTTTTGTGGTTCCAGGTAAATTTTAGGATTGTTTTTTCTACTTCTGTAAAGAATTTCACTGGAAATTTGATAGTGGTTGCATTCAATCTATAGATGGCTTTTTGGTGGTACGGACTAAAGATTAGAGCAGAAACAAATGAAATAGAGAACAGGAACACTGGAAAGATTAACTGGTTCTTTGAAAAGAAAACTGAATTGACAAAATTTTGGCTAGACTCACCAAGAAACAAGGAGGACTTTACCTTTTTCATTTATAATTTTGTGGATTTGTATCCTGTTTGTTTTGATGTCTTTTGGTATCAGTATGCTTTGACTTCTTTAACATGTTTCTTTTGTAATTACTACAGGTTTTCCCCTTGTGGTTACCATGAAGCTTACATAAAAATATCTTAAAATTGTAACACTCTATTTTAAACTAATAACAACTTAAGTTCAATACAATGCCTAAGTTTTACACTTGTACTTCTCCCCCCTCATATTTTAGGTTATTGGTGTTATAATCTTGCATATTTTATATTGTGTAACTAATAACAGATTATTGTAGTTAAAATAGTTACTTTTTACATTTTAACTTGTAAACTAGGTTTGTACATGAATTATGCATCAGCATTAGCATATTACAGAATCTAGCTTTGATTATATATTTTTACCATTACCAGTGGTTTTTACATTGCCTTGTTTTTATGATGTTAATTAGTGTCTTTTTATTTCCACACAATGGACTCCCGTTAGCATTTCTTGTAAGGCAGGTCTAATGGTGATGAATTCCCTCAGCTTTTCTTAGTTTGGAAAAGTCTTTATCCCTACATTTCTGAAGTACAGCTTCACTAGGTATTGTATTCTTCATTGACAGTTTGTTTCTTTGAATATGTTATCCTAGTCTCTCTGACCTGAAAAGTTTCTGTTGAGAAACTGCCAATAGTCTTATGGGAGCTCCCTTATACAAACTTAACTCTTTTCTCTTGCTGCTTTTAAAGTTCTTTTCCTTTGACTCTTAACAATTTAATTATAATACATCTTAGTGTACCCTATTTGGGTTCAACCTATTTGGGGTCCTTTACGCCTCCTGAATCTTAATGTCTATTTCTTTCCCCAGGTTTGGGAAGTTTTCAGCCCATATATGCTTTCTGTCGTTTTTTTCTCTTGTCCTTCTGGAATTCCTGTAATACGAATATTGTTTCTTTTCATTGTGGCAGTAAGTGGGACTATGAATTAGCCGGACAGCAGGATCGGACCCAGGGCCTGTATGGCTCATTGTTTGGGGACTCAAGTCAGGCAAGAGTGTGCACTGGATATCTTGGTCAATCTAACCTACCAGCTAAAAGAATTAGAAAAAGAAAAGCAAACAAAACCAAAAGTCAGCAGAAGAAAGGAAATAATAAAGATCAGGGAGGAGATAAATAGAGATTCGAAAACAATGGGAAAAAAAATCAAACCAAGAGCTGGTTTTTAGAAAGAGTAAAAAAATTAACCTCTGGCCAAGCTCACCAAAAAGAGAGCACAAATAAAGAAAGGAAAATGGAAAATTACAACCAATACCACAGAAGTACAAAATATCATACAAAAATACTATGAACAACTATATGGAAATGGATAAACTAGAAGAAATGGACAAGTTTCTGGAAACATACAGTCCACCAAGACTGAATCAAGAAGAAACTGACCACTTGAAATAAAATAAAATCAGCAATAAAAAACCTCCCTACAAACAGAAGTCCAGGACCAGATGGCTTCACTGGGGAATTTGACCAAATACACAAAGAATTCATACCCATCCTTCTCAAACTCTTCCAGAAGATTAAAAAGGAGGGAGTACTCCCAAACTCATTTTATGAAGCCACCATCGCCCTGATACCAAAACCAGGCAAAGACACCACCAAAAAAGAGAATTACAGACCAATATCACTGATGAACACAGATGCAAAATTCTTCAACAAAATATTAGCAAATAGAATCCAACAGCACATAAAAAAGATCATATACCATGATCAACTTGGGTTCATCCCAGGAAACAAGGATGGTTCAACATATGCAAATCAATCAATGTAATACACTACATCAACAAGAGAAAGGACAAAAACCACATGATCATCTCAATAGATGCAGGAAAAGCATTTGATAAAATTCAACACTCATTTACGATAAAAACCCTTACCAAAGTGGGTATAGAGGGAACATATCTCAACATAATAAAAGCTATGTATGACAAACCAGCATAGTACTTCAACAGTGAAAAACTGAAAAACCTTTCCACTAAAGTCTGGGACAAGACAAGGCTGTCCACTCTTACCACTTCTATTCAACAGTCTTACAAGTCCTAGACACAGCAATTAGGCAAAGAAAAAGAAAAGGGATTCAAATTGGAAAAGAAGAGGTAAAACTGTCACTATATGCAGATGACACGATACTATATATAGAAAACCCTAAAAGCTCCGCACAAAAACTACTAGAGCTGATTGAAGAATTCAGCAAGGTAGCAGGATACGAGATTAATGTACCAAAATCAGTTGCATTTCTTTGCACTAATGATGAATCAACAGGAAAAGAAAGTAAAGAAAAACCCCTTTTAAAATAGCACACAAAGTAATAAATTACCTAGGAATCAATCTAACCAAGGAGGTGAAAGACTTATACATGAAGAACTACAACACACTGACTAAGGAAATTAAAGAAGACTTAAAAAATGGAAAGATATCCCATGTTCCTGGATTGGAAGAATCAATATTGTTAAAATGGTCATACTGTCCAAGGCAATCTAGATTTAATGCAATCCCTATCAAATTACCCAGGACATATTTTGCAGAACTAGGACAAATCATATTAAAATTCATATGGAATCACAAAAGACCCAGAATTGCCAAAATATTACTGAAGAAAAAGAATGAGGCTGGAGGAATAACCCTCCCAGACTTAACACAATACTACAGAGCTACAGTAATCAAAACAGCATGGTATTGGTACAAAAACAGACATATGGATCAAAGGATCAGAATAGAGAGCCCAGAAAT